ACTATGTAAGCTACAGGACAAGCTGGCAGCAGGAGAAGGCTGTTTTCCCAAAGGGGTGTTTGGATTGCTGGGTCTGGAGATGGTTGGGGGGAAGCCAACTTCAGCCCAGCCAGGCTCTCTCTCTTGTTCTGCTCTTGTGTGCTACATCAAGGAGCTCTCCACTATCAGAAAGCTTCTCCCTGCATCTGTACTTGTAAAATGTGATCAAGTCACCTCTCAATCTTCTCTTCAACCAGTTTAATAGACTGAGCTCCTTTAGTCTCGCATTGGAAGACATGTTTTCCAGACCTCAGATCAGTCTTGTGGCTCAACTTGGAACCTTCTCCAATTTTGCAACATCCCTTTTAAAGGGTGGACTCTTAAATGGTCTCAGTGATGCCTTATGCAGAGGTAATAGTGCCTCGCTACTCCTGTTCGTACTTCTCCTGTCTATATTTCCAAGGCCTGTGTTAACCATTTTTGGCCCAGCATTATCGCACTGGTAGCTCATTCACTTGGTTTCCTCCATGACCCCTAGTTACTCTTCAGTAAGTCCAAGACACAGTGCCACATCCTGTAATTGTATCCTACATTCTTTCTTTGTTCCTAGATGTACGACCTTGCATTTGGCTGTGTTAAATGCATGTATGTGATTGCATCCAGATTACCAAGGCTGAAAGTAGAAATCAGCTAAGTTAACACTAGAAATAAGATATAAATTTGTATTAGTGAAGGAAATTAACCACTGGAACAGCTCACCTAGGGATGTAGTAAATTCGACATCACATGGAGTCTTTAAAACAAGATTGGATGTCTCTTTCTAGCTCAGTCACGAGTTACTGGGGTTGATACAGAAAACACTGGGTGACATTCTATGGCCAGAGTATCTTGGGCCAAAGGTTTTTTTGCCAGTGAGTTGTCACACATCCAGTGTGCGTCTCTATCAAACACATGATTAACACAGGTTCTTTCAGTCTTTGATCATTACCTGCACTTTGGTCTCCGGTGTACCTCTGACTCCACCACTCAGCTGGGGTGATAGGAATGTGGAGGCAGAACTGTTTGTCAGCCTAGAAGTGGGAGGAAGGGTCTCCTGTCCTCGGCAGTGCCTTGCATTAGTCAACAAAGAGAAAGAAGAAGAGCTGACAGGCTCCGAAAGGACCCTAATCTAGTCCTCATTAGCCAGAAGACCTGTGGCCACAACTCAAGGCATTTGCAGGTAGTTTGTGCAGCAGAGAAAGAATGAGGAATTCTTCAGGGTACAGAGCTTTGAAGGACCTCTCCTCCACAAAGGCAATGTGCCAGTGAAATGGGTTATTGAGCAGCAATAGCATTGCTGTGAAACAGACATGTTTACAGAGGACACTGTACATGGAGCTTAGAATTCAATTCTATTCAGCAGGAAGAGGAGGACAGACTGACAAGAAAAGTCAACCCAGGAATGGAAAATTTAACATACTAAAAAGAGACAAACCAATCCAGCACCATAATGCCTTGGGCTCACAGATTGCAGGGGAATTACTGTTGAGAGTCCCAGCGCAGAATTTTGATGTGGGTTTTTGGTTTTTATTTGTAACATCTACATCATGTACCTGAGGCCAGTCACCATTGGGCAGCTGCTTGTCAATCAAAACCTTGATCCCCTTTTCCAGCACCCGAACACCTGGGTACCTGCAAGGCACAGGATGGAGAGGTCAGCAGTTCTCATGCATACAGAGCTGTGGAGAACTGCAGGGGTGAATTCCCTGTTTCTCCATTACCCTCCTCTGGAAAATGAGCCTGTGCCCATCCCTCCTGCACCAAGATGGCATTTTGGTGGAGAACTTCGAAGAAGAGAAATTGTACCTGATCTTGGAGTGCCCTTTCCTCTCTGAAAGGAGGGCTGGCCAGTTGGTGCTGAAAATAGTCTAGTATCCCAGGCGTTTTCCCTGTCTGTGTCACTGACAGAGAACAATGAATCATTTTCAAAACAATGACAATTGCTTAACAATTTCACAATCCCTGCTCCTGTAAAGTGCTTCATCCGTGAGCCAAATGTCCAGCTTGCCCTTGCGTGTGGTGCAGTGTGACCCCACTGGCGAGACAGAGGGACACAGAAAAATGAGGGACTTGGTAACAATTTTAATCTCAAGGAGGGTGGCGGTCATTCCCCTGGACATTTATCTGAGCCCATCCCGCCCAGCTTTGAGAAACACCTAAGAACACTTCTTTGGCAAAGGTGATGAACCTGACTAATATCAGCTCCTTCATTTCCCTTCTTCCCATGCATTTTGCACTCTGGGTTTGGCTTGAAGGACGAGTGCTGAAAATTATATTAGTTCCTTACTGCAGTCTATATTGTACTGTATTTGTTGTAGAACATTGTACAGCACCTTGCGTGGTTGGGGGGGGCTTCATAAATAAAACTGTTAATCATATTATGAAGATGCAAACGTGCTAGAGACAATTAGTTATTCTGCACCAGTTATTACTTTGTTCTACTGACCATTCAGTGACGACACCAGGGGTTAAGTCTCCGCTGAGGTACGTTGGGTTAGTCTGGTAACTGCCTGTCTGATAGTGCAGTCAGAGCATCAGGCACATAGCTAAAGAATTGGGCTGAGGTCCTGGCCCACAGAAGTCAATGGCAAACCAACCATTCACTATAATGGTCAGAATTTCACCCTGTTTATTTGATTTTTTCAGTCATGCCCAGGTGCTGTGTTCTGTGAATGCGGGTGACGAGGACGATGTTCTGCAGTGAGAAGCGGCAGCGGTGCTCCTACCTGATGGCCATGAGCCCTGGCAGGGCCCAGCAGGTGTTGTGGATCTGGGAGCTGGAGCTCTGCACGTATCTGTGCTGCTCGCAGGACTCAAAGTCCTCTCCCCAGCTACCATCCTCCATCTGCCTGGAGATCAGGAACAGGCAGACCTGGGCCACCTCCCTGCATGTGGCTCTGAAAGGACGAGGCAGAGAAATGGGAAGATATTGGACATGACAGAACAACACTGACTTGTATTAAAGAGCTTTACTTGACATCCTCTAGAGCAGTGAGAAGATCAATAAGAAAGAACACAAGTAAAGTCCACACAAGAGAGCCCAGTGTGTTTGCCCTCTGCAATGAGCTGCAGTCACCATGACAGCAAAATGTCACATGGAAAAGAAAGACATGGTAGCTACAGGTTACAGGCACCGTATAAGCATTCTCCTTGCTCCAAGACAAGTGCCCTCATTTGGACAAGCTAACCAGCTCCTGGGAAATTCTTAAAGCTCAGGTCTATTATTGCACAATCCTCCGTCAATATAACAGCCCTACTACAAGAATTTCTTGATTTGCAGCCTGGAATCACACCCTACTCTTTGAGAAATCCAACTTCTACATCCTTGCTAAAGAACTTGCTAGTATTGCTCAATACAGCACAGAGAGGATCACGTCTTCTT